AGAGGCCTATGTCCAAACATGGACGACAAAAGGCTAAGAAGAAGAAGAATCTGAGTTGACAATGGTAAGTGTGACTTTGCCGAAACTTCGCCATAACAACAATGGTTTTTCTAAAACCAAAACTAGTTAACGCGGAGTCAAACCCGGAAAACAGATGAAACCGTATATAGCTCCAGCAGAATATATAATATATATATATATATATATATATATATATATATATATATAATAGCCTGGAAGCCCTGAAGAAAACATCAAAGGGAATGTCCAATACTTGTCACATTGATAATCGACGCGGTCGATTATATAATGGATCAGACAGAAAATCAAGGTTACTAATATAATCCATAGAATTTAATCTTTAAAATGGCAGTAAGCAGGTTATTTAGTAAGCAGAACTGACAGTAGTGGTGGTCCACCAGAATTACACTGGTATCTAAGAGGCGTCAAGAGACCAAGAAGACGTAGAGATTTAAGATGGGACTATGACATAATCAATCAATCGATCAATACTTCTACCACAGATTCCACAAGAACAATGTGAATTTGTCGCTGGAAGAGGCACACGAGAACAAATTCTCAATCTCATACAAAATATAAAATATCTAGAGAATTTAATCTAGAAACATATTTGTGCTTCGTTGACTACTCGAAAGCGTTCGATATTGTAAAGTGGCATAAAATGTGGGAAATACTGAGAGAAATGGGTACCCCGAGCCCGAACCCGAACATCTAATATACCTAATGAAACAACTGTATATCAACAACACAGTAAACATATCCTAACAACATAGTTAAGAGTCAACAACATATACTCCGATAATTTTAAACTAAAAGCCGGTGTTCGTCAAGGATGTATTATCTCTCCCAAGGTATTCAATATATATAGCGAACACATCATGCGCATTGTATTCGTCATGAGCAGACTAGATACTATTAGTCGTGAATATGGACTTAAAATTAATGTACAGAAATCAAGGTAATGATAATTAATCGAATTAGAAATAATCAGCCGAAAATACGAAACGTAGAGGGGTTTGAAGTGGTAAGCTGTTTCAATTACTTAGGTTCGGTTATCACAAACAATGATGAATGCGAAGAAGAGATACGTCTACACCCTACAATGGCCGGATCAGCAACGATGAAACTTACTAAAATCTGGAAAGATACGGACATAACCAAGAACACGAAACTGCGCCTAATACGGACGCTTATCTTTCCTATCGCTTCCTATACGTCAGAAACTTGGACCATTAAAAAGTCCGATTCACGACGTATAATGGCCTTTGAAATGTGGGTATATCATAGAATGATGCGCATACCATAGACAGCACATCGCACAAATGTCTCAATATTGACAGAACTCGACATCAATACTAGACTTACCACAATCATCAACCAAAATATATTGAGGTAAAAAAGCTCGAGGAAGATCGCCACTCCGATGGTCAGACCAAATAAAGTGCGATACCGGTTACTCTCTGTCTGAAGTAGCACACCGCGGCCAGGAGAGAGAAGAATGGATAGCAACCATTCGTCAAATACCATAACGTCACCAAATTCTTACGAAGAAAAAAGGGTAGAGGAGGAGGATAACATACGGAAACAAGCTAGTACAACATGGCACAGAAAAGCAAATTTTAGACAATCGTGGGCAGAAATGAAGAATAAATCTGTATGAAATTTAGAAAAACTTTAGACATTTTGTCTAGCCTACGAATTTATTTAATTCATCTTCAGAACATCTAAAAAAATGATTCTAATGTTCTAATGATGTCTGAACTTCTTCGTGGAGAGTCTGAGTTTAAAGCTGTGACTTCTATATATCTTCTTATATTAGATTTAATTTTTTATTTTACAAATTTTGCATTATTTTGGTTGCAGTTAAGCTTCAAAGTTTGAGAAAACCAATGACTACAACCTTCCGCTGTACTTAGCATTCGTAGATTATGAAAAGGCTTTCGACAGCATTGAACACTGGGCGGTGGATGAAGCTCTGGTCAATAGTAGCATAGATTCAAGATATCGACAATTGATACATGATATTTACCAAAACGGAACCATGACCGTAATTCTGAATGACAAATTAATAACGGATAATATAAAAGTTAAACGAGGAGTCCGACAAGGCGATATAATTTCACCTAAACTGTTTACCTTGACCCTCAAAGATATAATTAGATCAACAGATTGGAAAAACAGAGAAATATGTATTAACAGAAAGTACCTAAATCACCTTAGATATGCGGATAATATACTCCTGATCTCCTCGGAACGACAAGAACTAGAACTAATGCTGAATAAAATTCATGAAAAATCGCAAAAAGGCCTAAAAATTAACTACAACAAAACAAAAGTAATGACAACCACGGAAGACCAAGAGGCAATAAAAATACAAACAGAAAAAATAGAACAGGTAAATCAGTATATCTATCTAGGACAAGCAAACAGAGCTATCAGAGAAAATTAAACAGCCGAAATATCAAGACGAGTAAGAATGGGATGGGCAGCGTTCGGCAAACTTTCTTACGTTCTAATAAATCAAACAATCCCTCTATACTTACGAAGCAAGGTATACAACTCCTGTATAATACCGGTGCTCACCTACGGAGCACAGACATGGACCTTTACACAGGCCAATTTGGATAGGATAAAGAAGGCACAAAGAGCGATGGAGAGACAAATGTTGGGTATATCACTTAAAGATAGAAAACGTAACCAGTGAATCAGAACCAGAACAAAGACAGTAGACGCGATAGAACAAGCAGCAAAACTGAAATGGAAATGGGCTGGACACAATGAACGTCTCCAAGCCGGACGATGGAACAATGCCATCGGAAAGTGGCGTCCATACAATGCAAAGAGATCAGGAGGCAGACCACAGATGAGGTGGAAAGATGACATCAGGAAACAAGGAGGTCCCACATGGCAGAGAACAGCTCAAGATAGGAAAAGATGGAGAGAACTGGGGGGACCTATATCCAACAATGGAAGGATAGAGAATAGTTTAAAAAAAAACTGTTGCAATATAGGCTCGTTCGCTTAGTGCAACAGGAAAAAACTGATGCAAAGCAGTCTCACCATGTCTTCTTACTTTACTAGGTTTATCGAACACGTGACCTAAATGGAACTCGTATCTCGTGGTTGAAAAATCTCCGACAATGGTTTGGGATGACCTCAGCGGAGCTGTTTCGCAGAGCAGTCAACAAAACCATGATAGCCTTGATGATCGCCAACATCCGGACCGGATAGGGCACTGAAGAAGACCTAAATGACCAATAGGATAATAAAAATGGGGTTTCAGAATTTTCCCAATATTAAAATTTATTTGTAAGCGGTTGTAACTATAGATAAGTAGGAAATATTAGGGCATTAGTAAGAAATGTTTGCATAATGTGTTTAGAATAAGAAAGTTTGGTAAATTGTTTATAGGCAGCCAAAAATAATAGACCTCGATTTTAGTTTTTTCAAATGATCTAAAATGAAGTAGATTTCGTGTCAACAAGAAACCGCTAGGTAATTTGTTTGTGTAATATGATGAAATGAGTAAAAATAGGCCATGAAAGAAGGCGGAAAAGGAGTGTTGTGTTTGGCCAAGGAAGAGATTATGTAGAAGAGCCATGAAAGGAAACAAACGAGGTTTGGATTTTGAAAAAATAAACAGAAAAGTCAAAGAGTTCGGTACCAAAAAAGTGGTTTTGGTTTTTACGTCACTGTTTAAAAGACAAATAAATATTGTTGTTTTTTCCCGGTGATAAAAGAGAAAAGTGACAAGATATTTGTTAAGTTTTATGTTATGGTAGCAGCCAAACAGTGAAAGAAAAGATCTGCTAATCTCACAATTGCAAGATCCATTAAATATAAATTATTTGAGGCTAAGCTGTCTATGTCTTTCTTGAGAAGAGACCAGATTTGGAGAGTTAGAAGCAACAGCAGATTGTCCATTTTAATTTTGATAAGAAACAATTTCTTTGGGAAGAGTACCTCAACCAGGAGGAGTCGGAGCCAAAGAAGAAGCAGTTTTAAATTACAATTAATTTTTTTTTATTTTCAGAAGACATTCACAGTAAGTTAAGAATGGATTAAAAATATTTTCATATATTATGAATAGAGACAGTTTTATCCTTAATTCTTGGAACTAGGGAGCATGTTAGGAACATTTAATCTGTGTGTTGTAGATGTTGAAAATTTATGGTATAATTTTGATATTGATCCATTTAACATATTTTTTATTAATTTTATTTTGATGTAGGTAATATATTGATAAATTGATATTTTATTGACTTGTATTCTTCATATTTGCAAATACAAAAATAAGAGCCACGAAACCTCAGACAAATTAATTTATGGGTAAGGTGATTATTTCATAAATACAATTCTTTGTTCCTTCTTGATCATTGTTTGGTTTTAATTAAGATAAAATAGATCTTAATGTGTTTGTTGTTTTTAATGTTGTTGAAATGTTGAATTTATTTTCCATCGTCTTAAGTTTTTCCGATAATGAATTTGTGTAAGATACATAACGATTAAGTTTTATTTTAAGTAACGATTAAGTAGGATTTTTCTAAGTAACTATGTCTTTTTTATTTTTGGATCAGCGCCCCTCAAAAATATTATCATCAGCTGCCACTGACAAGCCGTCTTACAACCTAAGAAAATGATCTATTGTTACTGTATTGATTATCGAGAAGAGAAATTGCGATATTTTTTTGTGTCCATACATTGTTAGAAAGCGTATTATAATCAATAAATTTATAAAAGTTATATAAGTTAAGTATATAAATTTATAAAGTTATGCTACGTAATATATTTGTTCAAAACTATTTTTTATTAAACCTTTTAAGTTATATTTTGCTATTAATACTAAAATATTGTATAAATTCTAGTATCGTTGCTATATATCATTTGAAAATATGTCCCTTGTTTACAGAAATACTTGAAATTATATACAAAACTTATAAAGTAACAACGTTTACAAAAGCAGTAAATTTTCCACTTACCCCCTTGTGGGAAGAACTGGGCATAAATCATCTTAAAAGTGTCTTCCTTGACGACTCCGGTAGGGCATTCAGCCTTGAATCCACGATAAATTCTCTTAATTTCGGCTTCTGTAAAGCGAGTTGCTCTACATAAGGCTTCGAGACTGTCGGGCCTATAGCGGGGCGGAGTTTCCAAATCCTCAAGTTCGGAATCTGAAAAACAAGACTCAATTACCAAACGAATAATTGATTGAGATTATTAGTGAGTTATTTTAGAGTATTTAGCCATACAATTAAGATATGCATGAAATTTGTTGAAGGTAGATGATTTAAAGCATACATAAAGCAAAACAAACAATGGGAGGGGCGTATGAAGATATATCAATATATTGACTTTTTTAGCCGATATAGGCTTTTCCGATATTCAATTTTCCTCAATTTTTCTCGTCCCTTCACCAATCTTTCAGATTCTGAGCTGAGCGATTGCCACGTACCCATATCATTTTACAAAATATTGATTTAAAAAAATTGTCTAATGCAACATTTTTTATTTTTACTACGTTCATTCTAAGTTCGACAATAATAGGACACTGTAATTTCTTTTAAGTTTAATTTATAATTAATTTCTCTTAATTTTTTTCAAAAACATATTAGATATACCGGGTAACTTTAAGTATGAGATCGTCAATAAGAGGAAGGAATGCATTGCCATCAGAAGACAGGCTATGAGGGCAAGAGGTAGAGAAGAAGTAACCAAAGCTAGCAAAATGGATATAATATACAATACGCAAAAGAAGGAATTGAACAGGAACATTTCAGCCGAGACAAAAAGGCACTAGAGAACTGTGTGATAAGTTGAATGAGGACGTTTGGAATCAGGTGTACAAAATCGTACTAAAACAGTTCAAGCTGTACCCTCTCTATGAGATGAAACTGGACAGGAAGCTTGAGGTTACCCAAGAGCTGTTTTCACCTGGTCATTGGCATGGAGTGCAGTGGGACGCCGAAGCTGAGCGAACTATACCTTTTACCGTAGACGAACTGCACTGCTTGAAACTCAGCGATTTCCGGTAAATTGGAAGATCTCGAAGCTCGTGCTACTCACAAAAGGGGACAAGAAGTATCGACCCATTTGCCCCTTGTAGTGAATAGGTAAATTATACGAGAGGCTTCTAAGAAGGCGAATAGACACAGTGATTGAAGAGTCAGGCGAGCTGTTACCCAGGCAGAACAGTTTCAGAAAGTAAAGGAGCACGGTGGATGAGCTGATGGAAGTTTTCCAGGAGTTGCACGGGGATGGTGTTAACTAGGGGTTATCAATCCTACTGTTGTTTAGCATACGGAATGCTTTTAACACACTAAAATAGAAAGAGATAATAAAGATTTTACGAAAAAGAAGGTGTCGTGAGGTGTTGTGAGCCAACAATATGGAGAGGGTGTAACCCCTTTCGCATTTGCGGACGATCTCGCTTAGCTGGTAGTGGCGCGGGACAGGAAAGACCTTGTCTTTGGTGTACAGCGTACATGCGACCAAGTCGAGGAATGGATGAAAATGCATGAGCTAGAAGTGGCTGCTGGTAAGACCGAGACTACTGTTCGTAAGGGACCAAGGCAAACGGACTGGATAACAGTCGAATGTGCAGAAAAGAGAGTGGTTCCAAAGAAATGCGTGAGGTATATTTAGTGGTTAAAAAGGGAAGAAGGGAGCACGTAAAGGCGGCGGGTCAAAGAGCTGCGGTGAGATGTTGGAAGGGACCATGCCCAACATCGGAGGGCCCAAAACTGAGAGGAGGAGGACCTTTCATGTTGTGCAATCGATTGTCTTCTACGTTGCGCCTGTCTGAACTACTGCAATTTTAACAAAAGCATTTAGAAAGCAGCTCATTAGTCTCTTCTAAGGTGTTGGGAGTTATCACCAGGTGTATTCCAATGCACCTGCTAGTAAAGGAAAGAAGAGCAAGAATATACGAAAAAGGAAATAAAGAAATAGCAACAAAATGTTTAAAAGAACGAAGAAAGAGAATATAGATTACTATAATGACGTGGCAAAAGGAATGGGATGAGATAAAAAGGGTGGCGCAGTGAAAGAAGTCACTGATTCCTAATCTGAGAAGATAAATTTGGCATTTGGATTATTTCCTGAGGCAGATGCTCACAGGACATGGTTGCTTAATGACATACTTTTACAGATTTAGAAAGGCAGAAAATGACTAATGCCTGTCAAAGTTTATATTTAATTTTAATATATTTTACCTCTTTGTAAAAATTTTTCATTTCATTTTTCTTGTATGTATCTTGGATAGATTTAAATTACCGACATCACAATTGAAAGTTTACGGGAATATTTATATTTATCGTAATATATGAATATAACATCGAAGGATGTAATATAAATTTAGCTATAATTCCAAAATTATGACCTTTATGTATAGCAAATATGACATGTGAAATGTTGATTATTATTTTTTTCATTTATTTGGAATGAAAAAGTAATGTAAATACAACTAGAGGATAGGTCGTATTAGAAAATCTTCAAAAATTTAAATTATCTTTTTCTTCTTTAAAATTATATACGTCGTTAAAGCCGTTTCAAAGATATTTGAGGTGTTCCGTACTTAAAAATCACTCGAAATATATTAACCCTTTACTGTTTCTTGATTTATATAAGAAAACATACTCAAAGTCCAAATTTTCTACAAACTTAAAAATTTCTCTCTATTTTACAATAAGGTAAGCAGAAAAGTGTATATCGTGTTTACTAAACGGCTCAGGGGTCACTTTTAATCCCACTGATATTACACGTCACAAAAACCTAGTAATATGAGGGTTAAAACCCTTAAACTTGAATTAGAATCTATTTTATCTTTGAATTTTCACCAAACCGCATAGTTCCTCTAATATTTTATTCATGTATTCGGGCCGCAGCGAGAGGACAAAGTAGCCGTAGTGTACCGCAAGAGATTTTCTAAATTTATTTTTGCAATTTTTCTCGCCGAATTGGTTAAAGGTTAGATAAATGACTCCCTCCGCGCTAGTCACTGTTTTACTGCGGCTTTGGTGCAATTAGGCTGATGCATTTAAATTGAAATTAGCGTTGGTTAAAACAATTGCGACAATAATTTTAGTGTGCAAAGCGCTCTGCCCCCAAGGTATACTTTACGATTGTTCTAAGGATATCTCTTTAAAATTTCACTAGTCACAGCTTTGTATGTAAGCTTTTATCTAATATTTTGTTGGAAATAAACCACAAATCATAAAGTAAACTCTGTATTTGATGTTTCAGATTTGAGTTTGGAGCATGGCTTTGATATATTTTTACTAAATAAACTCAGCTTATTTAACATCATATATCTACTTATAATCCCTTCATTCGGTTTGAGTTTTAGAATCAAAACTAAATGTATTTGTGATGATAATATAATTAATTAGTTGTGGCTTTTTGGAGATCATATAAAGGATAACATATGAATATTTATGTGTGTGTAGCTTTGAAGGGAACATGCCACATGTCTGAGGGAAAATGTACTAAAGAAAATATATGTAAAAGTAAACCTATGTTTATTTTAAATTAAACAGCAGGGTTTAGTTATTTTTAGTTAATTAAAGTTTTAGGTTGTATGACTGTTTAAGTTTTATTGACATTGACATATTTTAAATTGTATTGTCAAATTACTTAATGGCGTAAGAAATAGCATTGTTCTTGATTCTCTTTTTAGGTTTGCATATTTGTTAAGTTATGTTACTTATAATATTATTGTTAATAATTTATATTGTAGAATTTTAATGATAATAAACTCTTTTTAGACGAATTCAAACTGCTATCTCTTATAAATCAAGAACTTAAGCTGAAAAAACAAATATATGAAGAATGAATTTTACATCAATGAGAATTTGCATGGCTATAGAAGCAAACAGTAGTGATAGTAAGAAAAATGTATATAAATTTAAGTGGCTGCAGCCAACAGGTTCCCGTTTTTATTATGAAATTCCCTTTGAAAAACAACTTCAAATTGATCATTCTGAACTATTTCATCTGAAAAAAGTGAAGAATATGTTAGCATCTATGAAAACAAGAGGATCCTTTAGAACAGGTACTATGGCATTAGAAGACAATTTGAAGGGGATTTATTTTGATTCAGATGGTGATGTGGTTTATCAAAGTGAGTACTTACAACAGACCTTATTACCAGTGTATGAGAAGATAGAAACAACTGAACAATTTCCATCATTTGCTGAGTTGCTTCAGAAATTTAATGACACAAATTTACCTAAAGTTGAAAAGAAAAATTTAAAAAAAATAAAAGATGATTTTGTACTTAGAAATTTTGATGGAAATAATGTTCCAACGAATTCATGGCTCAAGACCTTCGAATCAGAATGTTTGCGATGTGAGGTGGTCGCTGATGAAGACAAGATTTTGATTCTACGTTTGTTTCTTGATGGAATAGCAAAAGAATGGTTTGAATCAAAAATAATAACATTAGGCTTAGATAACAGTTTTGAGGTATGGAAAATTAATTTTTTAGATAGTTTTTGTGAAACAGGTTGGCATAATCATAGGCAAGCTTATTCTTTTAGGTATATAGGTGGTAGTATTGTTGATTATGCGTTTCGTAAAGAAAATTTATTGCTAAATATTAAGAATGATTTTCCCATTGATATACTAATTGATTTAATTGTAACAAATTTGCCAATTTATATACAAGATAATATTAATAGAGCTGACGTTACAACAATGGAAAAATTGGTAGGTGAATTACGAAAATTGGAAAGTTTAGTTATAAAAAAGAAGAATAAATTGGAGACAAAACCAAATTTTTATCAAAAAACTACTATAATACCAGAAGAACAGAAAACTACTTGTCAATATTGTGATAAAAAAGGATTCCCTGGGAGGTTTCATCCAGAGGCAATATGCCGTTTAAAGCAAAAAGATAAAAAGGTAACAAAAGAAAGCAAATCAAATGATATTAAATATATTAATAATATTGCTATACAGGAGACATTAAATGAAACAGTAACTGACCAAAAAAACTAGATTTGCTGCCATTGATCAAATTAAAAGTATTCCTAAATAATAAAGAATTATGTGGAGTTTATGACCCAGGCTCAAATGTTACTCTTCTGAATTCGAAGGTGGCAAGAAAGTTAGGATTAGATATTCAAGAAGATAGGAATATTTTTAAAACGATAAATGGCAGAACTAATTTTACAGGAAAACTAATTGCAAAACTGAAAATTAATAAAATTGAGAAAAATATTAATCTTTTTGTAGTTAATGATGAATATTTTGAGTATGATATTCTACTCGGATTAGATTCCATTTTAAATTTTCAAATGAAACAAGATTTTGATTTAGAAATTTATCAAAGATTATACGGAAGAATTGAAGAAAAAATCGAAAAATTTAATTATAATATTAATATTACAGAATACTCCATAAACTTTAATGAGGGAATTCCCACAGAACTTTTTGAAGCAAAATTAGAGCATTTATT